GTTTACTGGAAAATACGGTGAGGAAGTGCGTAGCCAAGGCGTCCGCGTGCTCGGCGCTTGAAATGAGCGCCTGTCCATCCAAGCTTTCTAAGACCGTTAGGTAGCCCCAAGGTTTCTGTTGACGTTTCAAGCAGGCGAATATTCTTTTAAGTGCAGTTTTGGCCGAGGATGCTAGCTCCGCTTCGAACCGCCGGCATTTCTTGATCTTTGTGGCGTTACATAAATTATGCTGTTTCCTGTACACCATGTAATCTGCATCACAACCCGAGCTGATGTACCTATCCCAAAGTTTGTGACGCCGTCGCACTAATTGTCTATATTTCGTATCAAACCAATGAGGTTTGGCAAGTGCGATTTTAAAATACTTCATGAAAACGAACCGAGTGCACAGCGAGTTAAGCTTCCCCATCATTAATGACCAAAAGGCCTCAAGTGACGCATCCTGTGGTAGTGTCCAATCAGTCTAATTTGCGGTTTGGACGAGGCTGTTGAAGTCCGTCTTCCAGTAGTTGAATGTCGGCTTTCGTTGGTTGTGATACGGTAACGACAGTTCTATGCTTGCCACAATGGAGCAGTGGTCACTGTTCGCCAGAGGTGGTCGAACGTAACTAGCCTCTTTATGTCCGCTGATCTTAGGGGGCCACGTTTCGCAATCGTACAATAAGGTCGGACGTACCGCTGCATTGTACACTCCATTCTTCAGGGCGAGTGATGTCGCGCCGCCGACATGGGTATCTACGGCTAGCAAAATCAGTTCGAGCTTTTGCTATACGGTTCGTGATCTCATCTTCAATCCCAAGGGTGCTGATACAACTTCCCAGGTAGTTGAATTTCTGAACGACTTCTAGCTGATCCCCACCTAGTGTCAGCGCAGGGGGCGGTCCAGGCCGATCTTGGAGGAACGCTTTGCATTTCGATGGTGCAAAGCAAAGCCCGAAGCGACTGACAGCCAGTGCTAATCTATCCAGCGCGGTTTGGCACATCGGGAGCTGTCACAGATGAGGGCAATGTCGTCTGCATACTCCAAGTCGAGAAATCGTTCTCCTGGGAGTAGCTCCACATCTTCCAAGTCATGTCCTGCAAATGCGATCTCCATGACTTCGTCAATAGCGAAGTTGAAAAGGAAAGGTGACAGCGGGCATCCTTGTCACACACCGCTGGAGATAGTAAAGGTCGACGACAGCTTGTCGTAAGCCCTCACTCTGCCCGGGCTACGCGCATATAATGATTGGATAATATTTACATATTTCTCAGGTACACCTTTCCTGAGTAGACAGTCCCAAAGTGCACGTCTATCCACTGAATCGAATGCAGCTTTGATGCGGTGGAACAAGACAACGGTGGGCCGCCAATATATGTGACGGTGCTGCAACAAGTGACGCAAAGTGAAGATGTGGTCAATGCAGCGACGACCTCGATGAAACCCGGCTTGTTCTTCACGAATCTGGCTTTCACGAGTAGCAGTCAGTCTGTGAAGGATGACAGAAGCAAGCAGTTTAAAGATGATGGAGATCAGACTGATTCCTCTATGGTGGCCGGATTCCGAGCGCGAGCCCCACTCGGTTAGGACAGTTTCCTGCTCCAATAGTTTCACTAGTAATTCTTGTAAATCAACAACAAGAGTAGAGCCGCTGAATTTGAAGAGGGCTGGATGAAGATCACCTGGTACCGCGGCTTTTTAACTTTAACAGTCTGATCTCACGTTTGACTTGTAAACGAGAGGGCGGATCCAAAGGGACAGCCCACGGAGCACAGCGATTACGGTCCGGCGAAGAATCGAACAATTCCGTCCGATTAAATAGCTAATAGAAATGCTCAACCCAACACTCTAAAAGTTTTGACAAATTGTGGATAGGCTGTCCATTCTCGTCACGTATAGCTTCACTAACACCAGGTCTCCTGCTTCCCCTTTCACGTATCAGACGGAATAACATTCGATTGTTACCAATGGCAGCGGACACTTCCATCTCTGAAGCAGGAAGAGATCATCAGAACTCGCGGTCTCTTCAGGCTAGCACGGAGTCTTGCCTAGAGCTCTGTGCGAGTTTCATTGTGTTCCCTTCCAGCCGGAATATGTCGACGAGCATAGATAACTTCCAGAGACTGCGAAGAGACCCAATGTCCATGTTGGCGATTAAACTTACCACATGAGGAGTTTCCTGCTGCTAATAAGGTCTGGTGAACATGAGAGCAGTGACCTTCAATTGTCTCCAGTGAGCGCTTACTCAACTCGCATGTCAGTGTACTTCGATACGCATTCAGAACAGCTGGCTTTGCCAGTTGCCTGGTGTCAATGCACTCACAACGTCGTCGTGGGCGTCCGCCAAAATGTATCTGCATGTCAGCACATACAAGTGCATTGTCGGTGTCCGCACATGTGCTCCAAATCGAACGACAGTTTTGGACGCAGCCTCTCCATCGGTAACTAATAGCAATGTGATCGATTCGCGTCCAAGGCTAGTGGGCGCCAAGTCACTCTCCGGCGAGTGCTGTGTCGGAAGTTAGTGCTCGCAAGAAATAAGCGAGCATCTTCACACAAATGAAGTAACCGCTCACCGTCAGCATTACGGGGGCCTACACCGTGCTGACCGCCCAGATACATTGCACTAGTGGACAACTTTCCAACTAGCGAGTTCAGATCTCCCGCCAGCACTACAGTGTCCGTGCTTCTTCTGTGGCGAAGGAGCTCGATCAGTTGGTGGTAGAAGTCGTCTTTTACCGAAGCATCGCTACAGTTTGTAGGCGCGTCGGCAGCAATGATGAATAGACACCTATTAGTCCGGCGCAACTTCGAAGCTTTGAACGAGCCAGCCAATCGGACCGCACACAACCGGCTACTGATTGGAATACAGTCAACCAGGCAGCTTCAGCCCGGGGACTCAGGGCAATGCCAACACCAGCTTGACCGGTGCTCGAAGCTGCATAGTCACCGGATGGGCGCAATGAGAAAGTGCTGCTGGTGTCACCTGAAAGGGATCGAAAAGTGAGCACAGAGCTCGAGTCTTATAGGCGGGTCCCCGATAAGCAGCAAATATAGATCGAGAGGGTTTCTAATGTTCGGGCAAGTGCTGCCTGTTGATGGTTCTGTAGCAACGTGTTTACATTGAGGCATGTCAATCTGAAGGAGGATCGAAGGCTCCAAATGGAAGCCGATGAACTGGAGTGGATCGCTTAGTTAGACATAGGCTTGTCGACAGGACAGGAGTGACGCTCCGCGTTAGCATGTGAGTTGAAACTAGAAGATGAACGCCTAGCAAAGTAAGTTGGTGGAGGCCAAGAATCGGGGGTTGAAAACTGGGGGGATAAAAGTGAAGTTGGAACTAGACCATAAGGGTGAAAAAGCGTAAGAGGGGGATAAGAAGACGGGAACGCTTGAGCAGTGGCATCTAAACCCTTATCCACCCTGCTCGATGCAGCAGATAGGGCACCGTTGATTATCCTCTGCGGTGGCCAGAGCATCAAGAAACTGTTTGAAGAGAAATTCACTGTACTGCGTGAACAGGGTACTGTCAGGTTCCCCAGGTCTAGACAGGAGAAAGATTAGGGTTGTCAACCAAAGCCTTTGGTTCAAAAACCTTACCGCAAGGCAGCGGGTTTGGCGCTGGGCTACAAGTAGTCCGTTTTAAGGAATAAGGAGCCAACCTCATTCCCACCCCCAACCTGAAGGACCAAGAGGCTGAGTTTGTATGGCCTCTAACCATTGACCAATCTAGTATGAGTGTCTCTGAAGGTGCAAAAGCACCATCCAGCATGGCTCAATGGATCACTGAGGCACACAAACCATCGCACCACGGTAAGGTACAGCCACATTGTGATGGCAACATAGTGATCATAACGTATCTGAGGGCTTGCAACTTTTGATTGGTACGTGGAAGAGCATGAGATTATGATGCCACAGTGAAATCGGTGATGAACCTTGGGGGGCAGGACTAGAGGCGCTTGTCAGTTTGGGTTGTTGTTTAGCAGCAGGGGACGCCTGAACTCGATTAGGTGGCCCCTTGCGTTTATAAGTGGTCCATGGATCCTCGGCGTTCAGAGGTTCACAGACAGGCCCTGAAAAATTCACGGACCGATCAGTGAAGCGGCATTTCGCAGGTTCCGAGTCTGAGTCTTCAAACGGTGGGAAATATTGAACCTGAGACTCGGCCGGGGTCGAAGACGATGGTGGTGGTGCAGATCGCGGAGTGACAAGGTAGGGCGAGGTGACAGAGGTACTTTCACGAGGGCGTTTGACCCCACGTGGTGAACGGTTCGTTTCTGCATGGAAAAGTGGTTTTTCCCGTAGTTGTTGGCGGTCGCTGTGTATTCCGATGTCTTGCACCGCGACATTTATCACATATAACTTGGAAAAACCGATGACAGATATCGGGATTTTCAAAACACGTCAACGGATAAGCCAATGCACGAAATATGGAACAAAACATCGCAGTGCATGAGCCTTATGTCCAACAACTTTCGAACACGAACCACAAGTAGCTTGAGACGGCATCACAATGTAGAGCAAATCCAAGATGGCGGACACAGATGGCAGTTGGGCCAATCAATGAGATCTCCGGAATTAGCCAAAGAACATCCACCAAATCTGCGCCGATTGGGAAATACACCAAAAGAAGAATATTGATGCACAATTCACACAGGAAAAAAACTTGCAACACAGTAATCCGAAACAAAAGTAGTATCGAGCACACGGTGGTTCAAAAATCCGAGGCGTCCGTGGGTACGGCCAAAATTCGATAGCTCCATTCACATAGCGGCCGAGCGAAGATAACAAAACGAACCGAACCGATAACTTGGCGTGGTGCCATCAAGTCAGAAACGATAGCGGGAAGAATAGTCCTATGAACAAGTACCTACGTTTCAACCTAAACCAGACGTGAGCAGCGTGAAGTTGCGAATCAGTATCTCGCTAATAATATCTCACATTAGCTGCGGCGTGTCCCTCACCCTCGGCTAACGTGTATCGATGATGATGAATAATATGTCGATAAGTAGTAGACACTGTTTAAAAGAACCCCAGAGTTTGGTTGATTTATCACTAAGTAGTCAGCAATATATCGATGTTTCTAAAACGAGGGAGAAATCTACTGAAATAAGTAGGAAAATCGGGAGGCGGCGGAATCCCCAGTTATACGGAGCGAGGTCCTGTGGTGAATGTTGATGTGACCACCAGATACGAGTCACACTGGAAGTAAGGCAGTAAGTGAAAAGCAATGTTGGAGCAGAAATATCAGCCAGTTCAGTGAGTTTAAAAAATACATAAACTGGACAGCACATCACCAGGCGTGAGAAGGATACATTTGAAAACAAGATGTTAGATATTCAAAGAGGGTTGAGCAAACCATGTAAGGTTTCATGCTAACGAGTGGCTTAATAGCGGATCAATGATGCGAACACGATGTCCATATAAAAGGAGATGGGATTTCAGACAAGTAGAATAGAGAAAACTCACAGCAAAATAGACAGGAGTGGAATAGACCGGAGAAAGAGAGGAAATGGAAAACTGCACACGGTATGTGCAATGCGAAGTGTGTCACCGAGGTCAAAGAAGTTGGGTGTGAGTCCACGTGTGCGAACAAATGAAGGGAAGTGGAACAGCGGTACAAACTCTGAACTTTCTTGTTCATACTGAGGATAGATGAAAGACTGGTCAAGTAGGGAATAACACCTAGAGAAACAGTCGAACGCAGCCTTCACATGGTAATTGAGTCAGAAAAGGTAACATATCGGAAGGGAGCAGAAAACGCCATGGAAATACGCCAAGCAAGTGGCCAACGTATTCAAGTGTGAACAATGGCGGGGAGAAGAGAAGGAAAACTATAGATCAACCGAAGGCGCTTACAGGTTTACTTTGAGCATAGCTGGCCAAGGTGAGATGCACAAAGACAGGGAAGACAATGCAGAGCCAATACGGCAGAAAGAAGGATGAGCCGAATAGCGAGTGCTAAAGTGTTTAGTGGGGTGGGGAGGAAACGACGCTAAAATGGACATCCAAAAGAGATTCCAAACAAGCTGCCGCGGAAAAGTGATGGACGGCCCAGAACTAGCATACGGTGAACAGTGTGCACTAATGCTTCGTATTTGGGCTGCATTCCCAAAGAAATACATGGCGCATGGGAACGATGTAGAAACAGGAGACCTCGGTGGAGCGGAACAGTTGCATAGCAGTACTTTAACCCGTTACTCTGGATAAGAATCAGGTAAAAACGAAACACTAAAGGAAAGGTATGTACACATTCGAGAACCAGCAATTTCTAAATAAGTGCCGTCACACGTCGGACAGCATTTACAGGCAACGCTAGTGGTTTCGAAATGTCGAAAAAAGCCTGACAGATATTCCTAAATAAAGGGGCACCAGCACTCCTCGTAAGGGGCGGGCACAGGAGGAAGCGGGCACCTGCACGTGGTGTAAGGCAGAAGTGAACAGCGTTCAAGATGTGTGTGTGTGCGGCGGCACCAATAGGGGGGGGGCATGAGAATGACAGCGCTTTGATAAGATAACTAAGCAGTGGCAATGAAAGTTCGCGCACTGTTATGAAAGAGCCTGGAATGGGAAATGGGGTGGGTAAGAGGGGAACAAGTAACACAGCCATTAGGTTGATGGATCAACCTCTCAGGGAGTGGGTCGGGGGGGGTGCAGATGCACTAGCTACTCTCCTCAAACTGTCAGCGCACATAAGACCGAAGGGAATGCATTGATAATGTAAACAAACAATCGTGGTTTGCAACAGGAATTCGGATATAACATCTGGGAAACGGTGTACGAAGTACGGACTTCGAGTTGTCTGCTCAGTGGGAACTTATCTTTGTGCATTTTGGACTTCCAACGGAATGGTCGCATGTCCAAGGTAACTTGTGTGAGTTTCCGGTTTGGTAGCCTGATGGATGAAACTCGTAGTGGTGGCTGGTGTAGGAGAGGGTGACATAGTGACTCTGTGCGGTGGCAGCTGAGAATTTGTGGACTGCTCTGATGGGTTCGGGTAAGGCCTCACGAGTAACGAGGTAACTGCAAGAGATCCTGAGACAGGAGAATGAAAATGCGGAGAAAGAACGACGGCTTCGCCAGAGTAATTGTAGCCAACATCGTTCATGTTCTCGGAGCCTTCATTCTCATCTGATTCGTTGGAAGCACCGGAGTTGAACAATAGCAACCAAGATGGAGTTTGTGGCTGAGCTACAGCTGCGGATGCAGGCGGCTGAAACTCTCGCAAGTAATCTATCACCGTATCAGACTTTGCCAAACCCTGGAGGTAAGGAATAAGCTCCAACAACGCCTGGTCGGTTGGGTCATCAAACCAGGAAACGATCTGAAGCTATAAAGGAGACAAACACGAGAAAAACAAAGGCAAAAAGAGTTATAAGGGAACACTTGGTGGAGACGCTATATGAAGTTAGGTGTCAGACATGATAAATGGAGTATTATCTTTGGATGACAAAATTCAGAACGTGGACCGCAAGCTTGCTGGCCGAAACGGGCTGGTTAATGTTTCTGCGCGAGGTCAGAAACAAGGATGTTTGTCGAAACATACAATATTTCCCCGCACATCCCGCTTTATAGGATCCGGATAGCGTCCCGTTTAATCGGACGTGCTAATAAAGCGAAAGCTTAAAGAAGAACAATGAGAAGTGGAGTACGTACGGGGGCGAAAGTAACGAGGTGAGCAATCAAGCGGAAGCGAGTGAAGCCGAAACCAAGAAATACAAAAGTCAGTCGTCCTACCTGCTACACTTTGGTGAGAAAATCAGTTATGAATTTATATATATATATATCTATATATATATATATATTTTGCAACCGCCTACGAATACACATAGAGTTATTTGAAATCATTGGACTAAGAACAAGGTTCGGAAATCGTAAAAGAAAACACAACACAACACATCGGAGTTCATGGTTTCGTCAGAGGGCGAGATAGTACCTGGTCGCCCAAGCCGAAGTAGGGTGTTGACTTAGGGGACACCATCCCGAGCCTTTGGCCGAATAGCCTGCTCGTAAGGCAGCGGAGCAAATTCAAGGAATCCCGCTCATTGGGATCCAGTGAATGGTTGCTCAGTTCATACGTCTATCGTTTGTTCGTTTGTCAAACAAGGACCCAATGCTCCCCAGAATTACAGCACAAAGTTACTGGAATACAATGCTTCGCCAGGATGAAGCAAGGGGCAGCGGCACACTCGCACTACAGGAGGAATGCGCGACTGCCAACATCTAGCAAATCATACAGGAGATCCTGTAGACCAGGCATTGAAATATCACGGAGGTGTCTTAAGCACAAAGTAAATCGCCCAAGTAACAGCATATTTCGCTAGAGACATATTGTCGAGCGTAGTCATAAAGGAGACGTTTTCGAGCGACCGTTGGTAGCAATATATGAACTTTGGACACGAGAAAACGATGATTTGCTCCTAAACGCGCAGAATTTGTGCAGAGGAATCAAGTGATATACTCATGCAGATATCTTCTCAGTAGGTAAGTGTGGGGTTACAAATTACTTATTTTCTATAGGTTGATGGAGAACAAGACAGGACTCTAGTGTTGTCAACAACTCACCGCATTGTTCGGCTGAAACAGGAATGATACCGGTGAATTGTCCAAAATGCACACCTGATCCATATCTCGACCAAGACGGCTGAGATCCTTGATCAGATTGTTTTGATGAAGCACGCAAGCCTCACGGAACAACCGGTGTCGAAAATGACAGGCCTTGTCGATGTAATCGCAAACCGGGTCAGCGTACTGAATGGGAGTGCAGATACAACAAAAATGGAGAGTCGAGAAAGGAGTGCGATTCCCAGAAATGAAAAGGTCAGATCGAAGCAGTGACGTCAGCCCATTAGTCTGCACCGCTAGGTGGTGCCCCATATTGGATTGAGAGGCAGAGACAGGTAACAGGTGATGAAGTAAACAGATACGCACACCAGTTGACACAGTTGTAAAAACTATCCGGTAGTGGTGAATGCAGCACAGGGAACATAAGACGCTCCCGCACCAGGCGAAATCGCACACACAAACACACAAGCATCCGTCCAAGAGTGGGATTGAATCGATCAAGCAGACGACAGTGTGCGTTCGTACGAGTATTGGATGCATGCAGGGAGCGAAAATGTTCTCGCAAGCGGAAGACCACGGGTACTGACGCTAAACAGAAATCAAGTGCACGCGGGTGTTTATAGAAGCGACCCGAAACATCTGTTGAAAGATTTGGGGTACAGAAAACGTTCTCGTGTGGGAAAAGAGGATAACGCGCTAGCACAGACAACAAGCGAAGTTTTGGTGATTGCATGCAGATGGCACTCTCGCCGAATCACGTGGAAAAGCCAAAATGGTATTGGTACGAAACTGGGAGGACGACTGACTATCCATCCTTATCGATGCAGTGGTGCTGTGCACGAGCCGCCGTCACACCAGCTTTCGCATGCACCACTGGGAGCACAAGTGGCGGGAGAGAATGGTAACTACTGACGCATTGGTGGATTCAATTACTGGGCGCGTACGATGGTAGTGACAGCTAACACTATGCCTGATGTATTGTAAAGGATCAAATATCAAAGCAGCCTGTTTGGACTTGAGCAACCCTAGATTTGCACCTTTAGCCTATCACGACTTTAACCAGTTTATGTATGTATTAGCTTGAGGAGAAATATGGAAAAGAAATTTCTTCGCTGAGCATATTTCACGAGTATCCTAAAGTGTCGGTGAGGCACCTGGCACACCAACAAGGGAGGGAAAGTGGAGTGTCAAATTTCGGACAAGAGACATGCAAAACAAATAAATTTCAAGTAACGCAGTGTAGAGTAAAATGTCGTTCGAGTACAAGCAGTATGCCTTCCGTAAATTACTGGAGAGGCTTTTAGCTCGTATTTCTTCGGTGTGAAGAAACACCGCATACAACCAATTTCGACCGTTAGCCATGTTCGACGCGTTGCCCCGGCGTAGCATTGATTTAGGCAAGCAAAGAGGAAAAAGCATTTGGCTGAGACACGGAATAAACGTGTAGCGCGGAGCACTGTGAGGATCTCACAGCATTAACTAATAATATTCATTCATCAGGTGAATTCGTGGTCGGTGGGGATATATAACGTGAGGGCGGTTACACCAAGAAATGAGTGCTTCTCCATGTAGATGAATCATGAAGAATCGCCACCGGTGAACAGTTTAGATTTGGAGCTACACCACAGAACATGTGCTCTCTACCTGCGCGAGCTCTGTAGTTGCTCTCAGACACATCAGCATCTCGTTGCAAAGTCAAAAAACTGCAATCTATTAGGTCACACAGTCTCAACGCACAGTCATTGATCATTCTAATAACGGGCACCGACTCAATCCCGGAACCGTCTTCCGATATTTTTGATCGATATCCAAAGAATTTTGACATGTAGGAACCCTTTAAGATAACACTTAGACAAAAAAGGAATCTTAGAAGTGACATGCAATTGCATGTATGCCGGTAGTAGTACGTTTTAGGGTAACTCGTTGTCCCGTGGGTGCTAGCAAACCCTTACAGAACGTCTAGCAGTTAAGGTACAAAAAGCTGCGATCCACAATGGATGCAATGGCCATTAATTTCGTCAGTACCATAAATGCAATATGATCCGGGTTCCGTGCCTTGAAAACGTGAACACTTTCGGAATCATCATCATCATCACCATCGTCGTCAGCATCATCATCACCATCATCCTCACACCATCATCATCAACATCGTCGTCATCATCATCATTATCAGATAGTGATGACCTCCGGTAAACTCAAAGTCAAAAGCAAAAGAAACCGACGTAAAGCAACCTGAGAGTTTGAAACTTGATGGTCTTCCACGCACCTGAATCGTCGGATTCGAACCCTCAGGTTCGCTATGAACACGACGTCGAGTTTCTGCAGAGTCTGGTTGATAGACTGCTCGACGTCAGTGGACGGGCTAAAGGTGAAGCAAACTGCCTCTCTGGAAAAGAAAAGTGAGGGAAAGTGCGACCCTTGAGGGCCATTTTTGCTGACGAAGCGGGTCCGAGATTGCTATTATCGCGCCTCGTTAGACTTAAGGGTTTGAAGATGGAGGTGCGCGCAGACATGGATCCAACAAACCGAGAAAAACGCAAGTCAGCCATGACTGAACTAAAGTGGCGCGCTGAAGGCGGGAAAACAAATATCCGCAATGTAACTTTTCGAATAGTTGCCCAGGTTCCTCTCTGAATCCGGATGAACAAATCGCTAATGCATCACGTACGCCCGACGGCTCCTATCGCAGCCTACGTGTAGCCTTTACGAATGTTTGTAGCCCAATGAACAAACGTGACGTCGTTTGTCACTTCGTTGCTTCTCGGCAACCAGACGTATTGGGTCTAGCTGAAACTTGATTAAATTCAGATAACCACCCAAGAAATCGCAATCAGTGGGTATTTTTGCTTTCGTCGTGACAGGCTACCAAATGACCGCGGTGTCATGCTGCTATACATACGGTCTTCCTTGTGCGGGAGACTCGTGAGCATCTAAAGAAGGGGTGATGGCCTGTGAGCAGCTATGATGTTCGATCGACCTGAGGCGCGGCGAACTACCCGTGTGTGTTGTGTATCGCAGTCCACTGAGTCGCAGCTTGGACTAGTGCGCAACCATATGAATCGTCCGCAATTCATGCTCATGGGCGAATTCAACCTTCCTCGAATACGGTAGCCCAAGGTCATGCTTCTCCCCGGCCACTGCGAAGTCGAGAAGTTTGCGGAGATGATGTTTGAAACTGGGGCCACAAGGCACATCAAACAGACGACGCGCGTTATTGCGCGCTCGACTCCATTGTGACTGGACCTGTTGCTGAAAACCGGCGGCCAACATGTGCGTGACGTTCAAGTCCTAGAGCCCCTGACCACTCGATGGTCATGGCGAGGTTAGAGCTGCCAATGTCGTTTATTCCTCCGCTAGAGCCAGCCTTCAACTATTAGAAGACGGACTTTAATGGCCTCACTCGAGCCGCAAGCTTGATGGACTGGTCGCTACCACAGAATTCATCAATTGAAACCTGTTGGTTTACCATAAAAGTGGGAGTAGGATCATAGTGCGCCCGATTTGTGCCCCTCAAATATCGGGAAGCTGGACCAGTCAAGCCACACTGGTTTGACAATGAGTATGTCAAACTGGCTCGACCGCCAAGCCGGCTATGGACTAAATTCGCGCACGCTGGCTCTGCACTAGATTACGAGGCGTACAAGAGGCAACTAAATGTCTACAACAGCGCGAAAACGAGCAAACGCCGATGCTTTAAGGAGCAGCTTGCAACCGCAGCAAAAACTGCTTCCAAGAGGATCTTCGCATTTGTGAAGCGACGCCTGGAGCCGACAAACGATGTGCCTGTGTTGGAGGGCTCGGACAGATAGCCCCTAGTTTCCAGCACCGAACGTGCTTCCGTATTGGCGGCGCACTTCGCTTCCGCTTTTGCAGATAACCAGGCGTCCGAACCGAGTTTGACGCAACTCGCCCCTACAGAGCTGGATAGCCTGGATTGCAGCGTTGAGGATGTGCGCAAATTGCTCACCAGTCTTGACGGTACCAAGCCTGCCCGGCCTGATGGGCTCCATCTGCTGATCTTCAAATCGCTATCGGCCATCATGTCGCCTTCGGTGACTTAGATATTCAACAGGTCACCGTCCGCCGGTTCATTCCCGAGCGACACACCGCCGGCCGTGAAAGATCTCGACGTATTCTCACGCTGCGATTTGAAATCAGTTGAACACACGAACAGGCTTTACCAAAATGGACTGCGCATGCTCTGCGCGCTCAAACGCAACTTCTGCACTTGGTCCGAAGAGGTTGACACTAGTCTTTTCTATCGTTAAACAAGTGCTAGAGTACAACTCACCTGTTTACTGTTCGCTCACTCTGGGGGAGGTGCAAAAAATTGAGCGGGTACAGCATGTAGCCACAAGCCTCATTCCCGGTTTACAAGGTGTGCCATAGGAAGACCGGTGCAAGAGACTAGGGTTGACCTTATCATGACGCACCGGATATTACAACCGGGTGATTACCCCATATTGAGACCGTTGCTTCATCGGCGCACACCAAGCAGCACACGAGGAACTGGTACAAACTTGTCGTACCGAATTTGAAGCGGGTCGCTCAACAACTGCTTCGAGCAGAGGGTGATAAATATTTGGAACAACCTGCCTGCAGACATAGTCGAAGCAAAGCCGGTGACGGAGTTTAAGAAACTCCTGGACTCGCACTTTGCCGAGTTGAGATTTTGTGAATACTCATCATAATAATAGGTAGGTTTGCTTAAAAGATATTAGAGGCATCTCTACTCGCTGCATTTTCGCAGTATTCAGTATTCAACATCATCATCGTCCTCGCTGCCACCGTCATAATCATCATGAGTGTAAAGTGCAGATAACTTCGAGCAATCAGCCAAACTGAACAACCCATTTGAAGACATAATATGCCTATTCCAAAACCTTTCACTTATTTCTTACAGAAATTTACACACTTGCATCATGGAACACCTCACGCTTTCGCTGCGCAACACGAACATATCCCTGACGCTTCAAGGTCAAGTTTTACCCTTGACAGACTGCCCATTAGCAAACTGTTACGGTGTACTGTTCCCGCACGTCGCCGCGCGTCTTCCATTTTCCACCTTTGCTCATTGCGATTGCAAATCTATTCGTAAGTTGACTACTGCCCTTGATTGGAACTATAGAACTAAGGTAAGACGAATTAATGTCTTATTTTCCCTGCCCAGATCGGGCGTATAGTAT